ATACAATATAATAAATATAGCCTGCTTTGATGGTGTAGTCGTGATCGCGGGTTCGAACCCGGTCAAAGTAGGGGGATCTTTAAGTGACAAAAATCGACTGTGTGCATGCGTACGCTTGTCGGCATGTAAAACAGCCCCTAGGGAAAGCAATGACAAATTACCCTAGGTTTACTTCTCACAAGGGGGAGCTAGGTGCTTCTGGAGACCAGTCTATGCACTATAAGTGTATGGCACTTTAGAAAGAGAAGAATAATAAACATTATTATTTAACAACAATCTTCGAAGGCCCCCTCCAAAATAATCGGCTGGATCCGTCCCAACGTGATGTCTGCCCGGAGTCGGTGTCGCAATTCGTCGACCTGTGACCAGTGCCGGCGCCAGGCATGGGCTGACCGGGTGACCGCCCGGGACCCTGCACGTCAAGGGGTTCGATGATGGAATTGGTGCGAAAAAATTAGTAAAAAATTGAAATCGTGAAAATCGTTTCGCAGTTTTATAGGTCGCGGCACAGTAGTTTGATATTTCATAAAATTTTCAAGTAATGTTTATCCCTAAATAAGCAATTATAATCTTTACTTACAGAGTTGGACTCAGTGAAAAGAATAATAACTAACATTAAAATAACATCTACTGTAGTATATACTGTGTATTTATTATTTCATCTATTTAAGAAGAAGTGATTTTATTAAACACTAAACCCAACACAATTGTTTAGTGTTTTAAGCACACCATGGAAATTGTATTATATGTTGGAAGTAAAGGAACGCAGTTTGCACTACCTTCTTCGACCAAACTCTCTCACCCGAGGTGACCTCCTTGTCCTTGTATTTCCTCTGTCTTCATATTCATTTCACACGTTGAGATATGCAACAAATACGCTGTGAACGTAGGGTCTGCTCCTTATTCTCATATCCTTATTTCGCGAATTAATAAACACAACCGTTGTCAAATTAAATTTGAATACACGCAAATTTAAAGTTAGAGGTTACAAATCCAGTCCAAAAATATCGATTGTTTTTGTTTTTAGTCGATGTGTTTTTAACATCAATGTTTTAATTTTGAACATTCATGTTTCCTAACATTGATGTTTTGTTATCGTTGTCGCACTGCCTACGCCTACGCGCGCGAATTCCCGCTTGCGCACCTCCCCGGCACTTTTCGCTGCGCCGGCGCAATGGCTGCGTTGCGCATGCGCTGTGAGACATTGACGAAGTTTACCGAATCAGACGTCTGGAAATCCTCTTCCACAAACACGCTAGCGTTCTCGTTTACGTTGCCGCTCCTAAAGCCTGTTACGAAACTGTTTCGCGGTAAGTGTTCCAGTGTGCAATATCCGCTGTATCCAACTCATCCAGGTCCAAATAATGGGACTTCATGTAGGTGAACCGTATAGAAAATAACTGTTCTTATTCCTTAACCTGCTCCCAATCACGAACCAGCTCCCGAGGTCACGACATCAGAAAAGAAAAGCGAAGAACGACTTGCGAGAACGCGCCGCAACAAGGGCATTGCTGTTTCGTAGCTTGAATGTGCGCGGTTGGACTTCGTGTTTCATTTCGTGGGTTTGGGCGATATTTGTTTCAGTATTGTGTCAGGTTTAAAATTTCTTCAAGAACACAATATTGTCCAGTAGGAAAGTTAGCGTGCGAATACCTGCAATGAATCCGTTTTTACGTCCACGACCGTAACGGATCCATCGTCTGCCGCTGTGGTCGCACGGGTGTGGTCAGCCGCTGTGGTGGAGGGGGGATGGTGGCGAAGGAGGTGATGGGTAGAAATCGTAATACAATTAATTAATAATCTTACCGCAGTTCAGTTGCCTCAGCAAATGCCAGTGCCATTTAGGTTAGGAACTTTCAATTTACGGATAAAATAAAACAAGATGGATCAAATATCATAAATTTAAATATCTCGATTGTAATTTATTCATCCTTCCATATGATTACAGCATTCTATTATTCAATAACCCATAGGTTGAAAATATTCATTGATGTGATTTTCAGTTTTTATTTTAGATTAGTTTCTCAGATTCCGTTACTTAAGACATTTTACTGATGTCTTGATGATTTGTAATCAGATTGGAGTTGAATCAATACCACATTCCGACACTTTTCTTCCTTTTCCATGAACTGTTACGAATATGTTTAAACATGCTATGTAACAACGTTTTGGACATATTTTTACTACTAATGTTTCGTTCCGAAATTTTCAATTAGTGGTGGCAATAAATACTTGATGGTAACCAATCAGGTATTACTCGTTAAAGCAATTAGAAACATTTGTACATGCATGTGCATGCAGAAAATTATTTAAATATGTAAATACTAACAAAATTCTACAACAATTTAGAATGTTGTAATTCCTTGAATTAACTACAATTCAGTTTCATAGACTTTTCGAATTCTCTTAAAGGCTGTACCTGGGCAAGTGGTGTGTATACAATACAGCTTGACGACTCGAAACACCAGTTAATTCATTTCGTAAGAAAACTTTTACCCACGATTCCGTATATCACGTGTGTTATTACGGAATGTGTATACGTTACCACGCTCCGTATACACTGATGGTATTCTACCTGAAGTGAAAAAAAACTCTAGAACAAAATTCATTAGTCCTATGATTTGGATGGTAAACTCCAAAAATAAAATTATTGAGTCATACTTGTTGAATAGAGCAAATATGAAGAAGCTGATGTCACTTTTATTTATCATTGTGTTAAAAAAATCGCTTTAATTTCGTTATCAAATGATTGACTTTAAAGGATACTACGCTGCCTCTAGCCTGTAAAAATACATATTTTTTTAAAAGTTGGATATCTATAATTTTCATACACAAAGCATCAGTATTCGAGGGTCAAAAAGAGTAATAAAATACTTCCGACATTGTCCGTCTTTAGCAGCAAATGAACGCGAGCGTTGAAGCACAATCATATGCACGTGTAGGTCATTAGTTGACTCGAACGTTCTTCCGTTCCGTGAAACAAAGCACCTCCCTCTTAACAGTGACATAAGTCATTTCATTACTCCACGAGCGAAGAGTAATAGCGACTATTGTTCGAAAGAGCCATTGTATTGCTGTCGCTCGCACTGCACAAAACCACGCTGAGGAACTGAATTCGCTGCATTCATTCTCCAGTTTCAAGGTCACGGTTCACGCCAATATTTGAACAGTGTGTGTATAAATTGCAGTTCTGTTAAATATTTGCCTAATTAAGACACTACCTGAACGTAAGTTCTGCGACGCTTCAAGCATAAATTCGTGTTAATGATCCTTCCAGATTTTTTTTAAATACACTAATTATAATAGAATAACTTTTTAGTACGGTAGAATATTTTGTTGACAATACTTTTTACAAATAAAATGTCTTTTATGACATCAGTCCTGAAGCAAATGCTTATTTTGCTCGAAGGGAAATCGGTCCTGGATAGTGGGTATGAAATTTGGAACAGTAATGAAGTCAAATTTTCGAACGCCCAAATTAGAAGAGAATTTGGGTTATTAAACCCACCATCCGGTGGCCGAGATCCTAAGGCAGTAGTGTCGTAGCGAGATCGGACGGAAGGATCGCGGGTTCGAGTCCCGCCTCGGGCATGGTTTCATACCGTTACAAGCAATAGTGGCCGCTAATGACCTAGAAGTAGATGCGACCTTAAAAAAATGGAAATGTGCCGCAAGTTTTACCTTGGAAGCTTTATAACATTAGTGAGGAAATATCAGTTGTAGAAAAGTGGGTAAATAGTGCCAGATATATAAAGCAATTTTAGAACACGTAATCTAGTTGCCTGCATCAATTTCACAACAATAAGTCGTTCAATCCAACTATATGGGTAGGGACAAGAAAACTCGATTACGATTGAGTGATTCAATGTGTTATGTAGTACATGCACGTCTCTGTGCTTCCAAATGTGCTTCACTCAAACACTGTACGTTTTCAGGTCATCAGCTAAGAGACGCGCTGCGAAATTCTAATTTCGAGCTATTTAGTGCAACAATCACCGCTTTAGCGTGTGGTTTCAGTATTACCAGATGCCGATATTTAAGCCCAGTTGTCAGTGGTGGCCTTGGGTCTCTTTTTATGACCTAACAATCGGGAAAAAATGCACTTGCGTATGCAGATGCATGGTTGAATGAATATTTAATGAAGATGTACACATCAGTTACGTCGAAATTAATTCAAAAATCAGTCAACCATTTTTTCTCTCTCGACTCATAAACGACACGTAATTACCAACAGTTGCGAAAGCCAAATTACTCAATGAAAGCGTTTTTAGACAGCCACTAGTAAAAACGGTATGCATAGCGTACTAAAAATTCAGATTTTAGCACTAGTTGTTCAAGTGAGATGATGATTAAGTGCTCTCATAAATCTGTGAATGCAATAAAGAAAACAAAATACTTTTGACCGCATCAGATGTTTCCGACCTTAATGTATCATTAAGTGATTTCTGTACTTGGATTAAAATTAAATGAAGGTCAGTAAGGCTGTCTAAAAAAATGTATGACTCACGTGATAAAAGTTATTTTATTTTGCTCGCAGTATTGCGCCAATCGGCCTATGCAATGTTTCAATCGCCTTATCAATTTTTCCTTCTCGCAAAATAAAATGTCATTTATATCTCTGGTTTATGAGAGATCATTTATTCTAATAACTCATTATTATTATTATTATTATTATTATTATTATTATTATTATTATTATTATTACTATTATTATTAATACTTTAAGGTCGTTCTTTAACTACAAGAACACGTAGCGATCTCTGTGATTGTTTACATTTGGGTAACTGTAGGGGGAACACGACACGTAAGGACAACACGGGTACACACAAACAAATATGCCGGAGGCCCTACAGCCTTAGCGACCTTGGTTATCCAGATCGACATTTAATAATTGTTGTCCTCCCAAGAAACAGCAATACGATGGAGAGAGAAAGAGAGGTATTTCATTGGCTGGTTCTAGGTGCGTCATGGTCTTGACAAACGTACCACCGACCAGTTCCAAAAACGGTGCTCAATTGTGTAGACCAGATCATTCAGTGTGGTGAAGTATGCGATCAAATGTGGAAGGAGCCATCAGATTTTACAGAAGAGGAACATTTTGAAGTTTCGAAGAAGACATGTGTATCACGCTGGGTATATGCATAGAAAGTATTGCTTCAATGCGAGAAGTTTCTGCGAATTTGTGGTTTCAAAATATTATTGTGAATGGTTGCTATTCAATTACATATAAAGCTGATCGCATTCAGCAAAGAAACGTCTTGAGATTAATGAAACTTCGCCAACAAGTGCGGTGATTTACAGGACCTATGTGTAAGGTTATGTTCTATGTTCTACTTGTGTGGTGAAGATTTAGTGTATTGGAGATTCATATAATTAAGATACTTTGTGGACATCAGTACTTTTGGACCAGTAACTTTACTCTGGATTTTCTTCGTACAAACAAAAGCTGATGCAAGAAGATGAAGTCCAAGATTTTATAGGTAAGTACTGAATTTCATTCTCGTTGATTCGTGATTTGAGTACCGTTTCTTTCACTGTTTTATACAGAGCTAAAGATCTCATATTCTGTAATCTCTCTGTGAAAATATCTTGTAATATGACTTTATAAACTACAATAGGAAAAGTTCGTTTATTGGTATATAATTTTCTTAAATGGAAAGAACACTACGCATCTTCATGCTTTCTTCGTGCTCCAAAATACTGGTTGCAAGGCGGAAATTCTTATGTACAAGTTCGAAACACATCAGAGGAGTATGGAAACGTTCAAATCTGAAAATATTATTATTAATAAATATTACCGGAATGTAAATTAGAATGTGGCATTAAGCACGATATTCCTACATTCATTTGAAGATCTTTTTTTGCAGGTTATCTGGGGAGTAGTCTATAATAACAAGTACGGATATGGCATTGGTCTCTTATTTTTCTCATGATGGATTAATAATTCCGTCAAGGAAATATAAGACCTTAATTCGGGGAATGAAATATTACTGGAGAGGGCAAACAATTCTCTCTGGTGACCACAAATGTAGAATAACCTAAAATTATTGTAAACATTTACAATTTTTACTACTTTTTAAGTAGTAAAAATGCTCGATGTTCAAATGGCCAATTGTAAAAATAAAAATTAAATATTTTACTCCTATAGTTGTCAGAAATTCAGTTAAACAGTGATGAAATTAAGCTCTTTATTTCCACAAACATAAGGGAAAAGTTAATAAATTTGGAATGTATCAGAATAAAATAAAGTGAAACAGAATTAAAACTTTGGAACAACAATACTATGTAGTTAATACATTTTTTGTATTAAAACATGTTAAATGAAACCGCAAAATATTTCAAATATTAAAAATAATAATGAAACAGGTACAGAAATGATTATACACAAAAAGGCTTGATTAGCCTTAGATTGTTACAGATATTGTTCAACTTATAAAAATATTATTGTACAGTCTTTCAAAGGATGTAATTTATGTCAGAATTTAGCCACATTTTTGCAATGGCCATCCATAAGATATGAGTGGTTTCCTCTGATTTTTAATGAAATTGCTAGATTTTTAATTAAATTTAATTTATTTTAAATTTCAAAGAGGATATGATTTTAACTTCTGTTAGTGGGTCTACTATATTAAATTTTTCAAGTTTTTTCTTCTTCTAGATTTATGGTCTAGGATGAACTGTGGTTCACTTGGCCAAAAATTGGGGGTTTGATTTATAAAGTTTTAGAATTTTAATATACAAACAACTTGCAGAATTTCTTTTATAGTTTTGTATGTATTTCAATTCTGTACCTATATTTCAAATCTTTTTATTGTGTGTATTTCAATTCTGTAAGAAGCAGGAAAACATAATATTTTAGTTTATGTCATGAGAAATGCTTTCTGTTTAATTGTTTTGTTTAATTGGTATTTTTGTGGGCATTTTTAATTTAATTAGATTTTTTGGTTGTTTAGAGGAGTTCCGTACAACTTCCGGAAGTTCTTTAAAAAAACCTCCATCGTGCCATTCCGACGACAACGAAAACCACGGTGGAGGGAAAAAGAGGCAGTAGATTTTAAGGGAGAGCTTTTGACGGCCTGGAGTAATGAACAAATACACGTAATATAGTAAATAATTGTAATAGTATGACTTGAGAAGTTTCGTCAGCGACTGGCGAAGCAGAAATAAATATAATTAAAAATTACACGAATGAAATAACTTGAAATGTTCATTGGCCATTGTATTCATTACGTCATCGATCGGAACACAGACACAGTTCGCCCTTGCTCACGGAGACGTTGACATCGTATCATGTCTTCTTGCCACGCGAAACTTTGAAGCGTACCTTGTGAGCATATTTATTGTAGTAACTACAGTAGTGATTATTCAATAAGTTTTTGTAGAGCAACGTCAAACACAAAACTCTGGCTGTTTAGTGTGGTATCTGGATGGATTTTGGAGGTGAGTTTTTCTGAATGTACTTTTGCAAAGAATGCGTTAGTGATAGTGCTTTACCCACCCTGAATGTTTTTCTATGTGAATTGCGTGCATCGAAGGCTCAAGCGTCGCCCTCAAATGGCAAAATTCGTGGCAAAGCATCAACTTGGCACTAAAAGTATATAGGTATAAAAGTGAATGGGAATTGCGTGTGCGGAACGAATGAAATATACGCCATTTTTTATGTATTCGTGCGACACGGAACCGCGAACTAATTTTTTGGAGGTTATTACCTCAATGACTAGCGCTGAATAGGTACGTTTTGTTTATTTCGAAGCCAATCCCTTTTGTTATTAAAAGACGTCGATTCTCTCCTATTCCTCGTACTCTCTACACCAGTCCTTTCTTTCCTACTCTCTCCTTCCCGTCCCCCTCTCCCCCTCCCACCAGCAGTTAGAGTAGCATCAGGTACTTTTGCAATGGCACTAAAAGGAGTGGAAACATTTACGAATATTTACGCACCGTGTCCTCGCAAGTTACCGCACTGACATTCTACGGCGTTCTACGGTATAAATAGAAGCACCCCTAATGGTCTTTTTTCTCCCTTTTTTATTTAAACATATGTGAAAATATGTACTATTAGTTTTAATAGCCATATCATCAATGTTGTGTTCCAACAGCACATACTTTCTCGCATTATATCTGAAAATGTATTTCAGAATTAGCCATTTTCAAAAATTCAGAGAGTTCAACGAAAATGAGACCTGCGCCATTCTTTAAGTGTCCCTTGTTCTATCTATTGAAACAAATTGAAGCTATTACTTGCGGTGGTTTTCAATATATTTTTTTGTAATTAGCGTGAAATGTAAGCAGAAATTCCGAAAGATCTGATTTTTATGACATATTTTATTTAAGACAAAACTCTGAATTCAATATTGTACGTTTGCTACGTTAACTTTTTGCAATTTTTGAGAATATAGTGTTTGCGAAAAATGGTACCCAGCATCAATTTTTAAACTGTCCTTTTATACATACAAGGAGAAAATTTTAAGAAAAGAGTTTAAGCCTTTTTTATTTAAAAGTTGTTTAAAACTTCGAATTTAAAAAAATAACACAAACGATTTCGCACGTGTTTCGTAATACGAAGTACCCGCACTGTTGTGGCAGTAAAACTGAACATAGATTTATCGATAGTTGTTCGATTTCTCTCTAATCCGCAGGATAAAAATGTTCAATTTTTTAAAATGTTTGGTTAAAAATAATTGAATTTGGTCATTAAATACGAGAATAGGCAACATTAAGGCATTTAAATACAAAATTGGCATTTATTAGTGAAATAGGTATTTATGGGGACTATTAAATTACATATAATACTTCTAATGCCTCAAAATGAATACATCATCTTAAAGATTGCTTTTTCCATTGAAGGAAAAATAGGCAGTTGACGAAACTCCGCAGCTTAATTATTATACGTGTCGGGAGCTTAGAGCTTGTCCCGTCTTGGATGGTGCCCCGCTGGGGGGAGATACTTGAAGAGGAAATCCCTTGCAAGCCGACTTGTAGATGTGCGCCGGTTATCACCATCCAGTTGGGGAGGGACACCACCCTCTCATCGGATAAAAAATTTACTATACTAACGGACTAATGATCATAATAGTTATCGTGCCCGGAAACACCAATCTATCAACCTTGGTGCTTGAACGCTTGGCGAAGGTAACCGATGCTTGATGCTCCTTGGTTTTAAAATTAGCTATACCTTGCGACCTCTTCTTGTCATGTTATGATGCGAATTTGTTAAAACGTGGTGTCTATTTAATTAGTGAACCCATCATAACTCCTAAAAGTAATTTCACAAACCCAAGGGGGAAAAAACTACATCACTACACTTCCGCATAATGTTTTCTATGGAAAATTCATTTCTAGTTCCATTAAGGATTATACGCCACTGTATTTCCACTAAGAATTCTGAAATATATATATTCGATTAATCGGAAAGGAGAAAACAGCGCATGTTAGTATCAGTAGCTGCCGCACAGAATACATGGACTGGAAGTCAGTGTGGCTGACGCCTGTGAGAAGAGATTTCGAAAACCAGTGTATATTAAGTTATTGCAATTCATACTGGCCTTTCTCACTCGACTTCGCTCGGAACTGTACCCAAGGGCTTCTCTCACCCAATTTTGTAACTCTGCATGGTTCAAACGGTGGTGGTGGCGGCCTATAATGAACAATATTTTCTCATTACAAGAATAGGTGAAAACATTATTTTGAAAGACCATGGGGCTATATTTCTTGCATTTTTTGCTCCAGCTTTCTTTTCCTTATAAAATGTACGTGTACCAGCAATATCCAAAATCTTTCAGGGCAGGAAATTGAAAAAGGTTTTAAAAAATAATATAAAATACATAAAGTTAATTTAAATTTTGCTTCATTTTGAAGTGAACAAATACGTAGAGCATTTTTTCGAGGTACCATAAAAGTAAATATTTGTGATATGCGTAGTTAGTAAAGTATTTAACTGCTGACAAAACAGTTGACATAAAACTTCGACATAAATTCGCCTTGTTATTCTCGACATATTTCTAATGATTTTTTCGCTTTGCCCTGTTCCTACGTTATTATCATACATATTTTTTGGCCTAACGAACATTAATTTTTTTGCTAAACTTGTAATAATCTTCGGCGGCGTTTATTTATTTTGAAGGCTGTATCTGTTCCGCCGGTCTCTGGAGGACTATCATTTTGCAGTGTTCAGTTTTTCTTTCGGTTTGGTCTTATACACCGCGGTTCAATTGTCGCATTTTCATATAGAGTTTGATAAATTGATATAACTATCGGCCGGCTTTAAACGAAGTCTTGTGCCAAATTCCATCCCCATTGCGGCACTGAGTTATAGTACTGCCTTCTCCCCCATTCCTACCGCTCACTGACAGAGCCCGCTCGTCCGATTCGCAGCTGTCGCCCCGCGCCAAGGGTTTCCGCCGCCTTCTGCAAAGGCTCCGCCGCCGGCCAAGCAAGTGGCTTCTGGTGTTCTCGCGCTTCTCCACAAAAACTCCCTGGCCCCCGCCCCGCTGGCACTCCACCCACGCCTCCCCTCTGCCGTCACCGCCGCGCCCCTCAGCGGCCTTCCCTTCCTCGGCACCCGATCCGCCCACGCCTTCGTTTAAGCCGCCGACCCCGCTCCAGCGACCACTCCCCGCTGCTTTCCGCCGTCCTAATCATCGTCCTGCCACCGCTCCGCTCCGCTCCGGCTCCCACTCACTACCTAATCTCGCTCACGCCCATCCACGATCCCGCCCCCGATCACCAACCAC